GGGTGGCTCAGTCCGTTGAGCGTTGGACTTCGGCTCAGGTCATGATCTTGCAGTTCAGGAGTTCAAGCCCTACATTGGGCTTGCTGCTGTCAGTGCATAGCCCACTTCGGATCTTCTGTCTCCCTCTCTCTTGTCCCTTCCCTGCTTCTGTGCTGTCTCTTAAAAATAAATAAAATAAAACATTAAAAATTAAAAAAAAAGAAAAGTAAAATCCCCTTCACTTACTCCACTTCCACTTTGAGAGAACCAGTTGCAGGAAAATCCCTGTGTCCACTCCTGCTCCTTCTCTTCTCAAGAGAGAGAGAGAGAGAGAAGAGAAAGAGAAAGAAGGAAAGAAGGAAAGATGAGATCTGGACCCACTCAGTTACATGAAGAGAACTCATAAGAGCTCAATTCATATTAAATCCTAACTTCTAGTACATCAGATTGTAACTGTATTTGGAGGTAAGGTCTTCAAAGAGTTACAAAGCTAAAATGATGTCGTTAGAGTGGACCCTCTTCCAGTAAGATTGGTGTCCTTATAAGAAGTGGAAATTTTGACACAGATATACACACTCAGAGGAAATGTAACAGCATTCCTATTGGTCTTAAGGGTTAACTTGCTTCAAGCTTATTCACTCCTTGCTTGCTGACCAAAATCTCTGTAGCAGTACTAACCTACTTCCCTTGAGATCCTGCAGACCGCTGACCTTGAGGAACAAAGAACCAGACTTTCTGGAAGATAAGACATGACTATACTCGAAAACAGCTGCCACTGACCATAGTATCCTCAGTAAGAGACATCTGGAAGCCTTGATTCCTGGTACAGGGGTAGGAGTTGGGATTGCCTTGCCAGGATGTGGCTTGTTGGACTTCAGGGGCATCCTTTACTGAGAGACACCTAGGAGCCTTGATTATTGGTAAAGCAGAAGAATCGGGAAAACTTGCATGGACAGATGATTAACTGGTGAGCACCAACTTCTCTTGAACATAGTCCCCTTACCATTCCCTGTGCCTTCCCTTTTAAAAATTCTCCTGCTTCCCTTGGACAGGGAAGATGGGTCTTTGAGATGTTAGTCCGCCATTTTCCCAGGTTGCCAACTTCCTGAATAAAGCAGCCTTTCCTTTTCCACCAATGCCTGTCACTTGAGTGTTGGCTTTTGAGTGGTGACTTTGGAACTGGTCCTCTCTCTGGTAACAGAAAGGCTATGTGAGGACACAGCAAGAAGGCAGCCATCTGTGAGCCAAGGAGAGAGGCTCCAGGAGATACCAAACCCATCAACACCTTGATCTTGGACTTGCTAGCCTCCAGAACTATGAGAAAATATATTTCTATCGTTTAAGCCACCCAATCTGTGGTATTTTTTGTGGCCACCCTAGCAAACTAACATATACTGCTTTATTGTTTCCCTTTAAAAAGAATCCAAATTAAACCTTGCCCTGAAAATGGACATCATCCTTAATTTTTGACAAGTGTTGAACACTGTGTCAGTATCTTTCCATGGCCATTGCCAGCATCACCTCTGCTGGGATTCCTACAGTAGTCTTCCAAATGGCTTTTTGCTTCCTATCTTCCCTCACTCCAGTCCATTCTCCACAAAGCAGACAGAATAGTCTTTATAAGAACTGCAGTATCATTGCACTTAAAATCTTTCTCTACCTCGGGCTATCAGTCCCTACATAATCTGGTCTCTTTTTCTCTCCAGCTTTGTCTTGCTCCATTCTCCTCATGTTCCCACACTTCAATTTTTCTATACTTCCTTTGACACCATTAAAAACCTAGCTGTGGGGGTGCCTGCGTGGCTCAGTTGGTTAAGTGTCCAACTCTTGATTTTGGCTCAGGTCATGATCTCACAGTTCATGAGTTCAAGCCCTGCATCACTGCCAGCACAGAGCCTTCTTGGGATTCTTTTTCCCTCTTTCTGCCCTTCCCCTACTCATGCTCTCTCTCTCTTAAGTAAAACTTAAGAAAAAATCTTTTACCTGCTTTAGGGCCTTCCTGTATACTGTTCTGTGTCGCAGATTATACTTTACAAAAATGGTTTCAGTAACATCTCCCAGACCCAGCAGTAATTTTTTAGAATGTTTGAGAGAAAGAGCGCATATGCGTGCACAAGCGGGGTAGGGGCAGAGAGAGGGAGATAGAATCCCAAGCAGACTCTGTGCTGCCAGCGCTGAGCCTGATGCAAGGCTCCAGCTCACGCACTGTGAGGTTATAACCTGAGCTGAAATCAAGTCAGATGTTTAACTTACCAAGCAACCCAGGGGCTACCCTGCCTCCCCCCACCTTTTTTTTTTCCTGCCTCCCCTTTTTTAATGCCAGCAGTGATTTTTAGAGTGACTTTGAGATTCCTCCCATGGAGAGGTGGTTACTGATGTTCTCTCCCCTTGAATTTGGATGCACATGGGACTACAGAAGTGATACTGTGTTACTTCCAAGACTAGGTCATAAAAGGAAAGAGTTTCTGTTGGGCTTGAGTCACTTGTTCTGGAAATCCAGCTACCATGTTGTGAGGAAGTCCAGGCAGGCTTGATTAGGCCCAAGTAGAAAGAAATTGAAGCCCTCAACTCACAGCCCCAGCTGAGCTCCCAGCCAACTGCCAGCACCAATTTGCCAGCCATGTGAGCCATCTTGAAGTAGGTATTTCCAGCCCCTTAAGCTGTCCTAGCTAATCCTACTGGATCATATGAGCTATCCCCATCAAAGCTCAACTCAAATTGTAGATTTGTGAATAAAATAAATGTTTTTTAAGACACTAAGTTTTGGAATGGTTTGTTAGCAATAGATAATTGATAAAACTTGGAATACTCTCCTCCCCACTCCCCTGTGCATGGCTGCTTTCTTCTCATTCTTCAGGTCTCTGTTTCAATGTCCTCTCCTTGATAGGTCTAGCTAGGTAGTCTCTATTATAGCTACCTGGGCTTTTGTTTGTTTGTTTTATAATTGTACACTGATTTGTCTGTCTACATTTCCTATTAGGCTTGAGTTTTTTACACTCAGGTCTTTAACTACTAATGGGTCATAAAATCAGTTTTTAAAAGCTGACATAAAATTGAATATAAAATATCAAATAAATAGTATAGGATAAACATTGCATTGTAAAACTTGTTACGTATAGGTAATATCTGTGCTGGTACACAATATATATATTTTTTACTCTAGTTTTTAACAAGTTTGAAAAGCCATTACACTAAACTGTCAATTCTTGAGGTCGTATCTGTATCTTACTCACTATGAACATCCAGCAACTACAAAGTACCTGGGACACAGTAGGCACTCAAAAAGCACACAGTAAATACTGTGGAAATAAGAGAAATATATGAATGAACTGTAGAGACACAAAGTGTTGGCAGTGATTTTACCCTGAAGAAGTTTGGCACTGAAGAGATAGAGACAGAACAAAACTTGAGCAGGGGTTTAGGGGAAAGAAGAGACATGAGCATGTTCATTCACTCTGGGTAAGGATCCAGTAAAAATGGAGAGAGAAAATGCAAGATAAAGAAGATAATTTTTTGATTGTACAAGGCCCAAACAGGTTGGAAAGGACAAAGATCCAGGTACAATTACAGGGGTTAGCCTTAAGGAAAAGGAGTTGAGAATGAAGGACAATTGTTGAGAAGACATGGGGTACTGAAGGAACTCATTTATGAAGGCTTCCACTGTCAAATTAGGAGTCAAGGTTTGTGACAAGAGCAGTGGAGCTCTGAACTTAAGAGGAAACATTTGTGATTAAGGCCTTTGAAGAATGAGGGAGTCAATGGAGAGGAATTGAACCTGACGCCAATAGAGAATAAATATAAGTTGGAAACTGCAAATATTAAATTGGGTTAATCTGCATGATTACATGAATTTTCCTCCAGCTTTGCCTGCTATCTGGGTATCATAGGAGTAAAAAATCAGTTGTTGGAAGAAAAATAATTTTAAAAAATGGCCACATAGGTCAAGAGAGAAAAGCAAATGAGAATGCTGATAAGAAAGGACAGTATACATGAAAGAATTCAGGGTTGGGTAGGAAGGGAGAGGAAGCAAGAGATTTGGAGAGTTAAGGGGTTAGAAAAGTGCAGTGGGCTCCTCTTTAATGGGAGAGGATGGAGGATAAGACACTTGAATAACATGGGGGTTAGAGGTACTGACCGTGGCACAGTTGAAAATCCACATATAACTTCGGACTTCCCCAAAACTTAACTAGTAGCCTGCTGACCAGAAGCCTTATTAATAACCATCAACACATATTTTGTATTATGTACTGTGTTCTTGAAGTAAGCTAGAAAAAATGTTATTTAAAAATCATAAGGCAGGTGCCTGGGTGGCTCAACTGGCTAAGCATCTGACTTCAGCTCAGGTCATGATCTCATTGTTCGTGGGTTCAAGCCCCCCATTAGGCTCTGTGCTGACAGCTCAGAGCCTAGACCTGCTTTGGATTTTGTCTCCCTCTCTCTCTGCCCCTCTCCTGCTCATGCTCTGTCTCTCTCAAATAAAAAAATAAATGCTAAAAAAATTTTTTTTAAAAAAAATCGTAAGGGAAAGAACATGTTTATAACACTGTAAAAAAAAAATCTACATATAATTGGACCCATGCAGTTCAAACCCATTGTTCAAGGTCAACTGTATGATTAAAAGGAAGAAGTTTAGAATTTAAGGTATCAGAGGTGACAGGAAGCCTGGGTTGTATTCCCTAGAGGTAAGAAAACTAATTCTGAGATCACTGTCAAATAAAGTATACATCTCCATGGTGGTAACAGGAAGGAGCAGAAATACCTATCTGTGCTAGGTTAAAAAAAATAAATAAAAAGCAATGAAGAAAGAGATAACATATCTATAGGCCAGAAAATAGAAAATATGGACTAGGTGACACTTCCTAATGAGGAATAGTTACTGAAAGAGACTACGTTTTTTTTAAGAGACATACAATGAAGGTGCCTAGCTGGCTCAGTCGATAACAGCGTGCAACTTGATCTCAGGGTTGTGAATTCAAGCCCCATGCTGGGTGTAGAGATTACTTTAAAAAAAAAAAAAGACATACAAAGTAAACATTTTATTATCATTAAAACCATTAAGAAATTTATTTGGAATCACATTATTCCCTTAATTTTTTCACAGAGAATATTCCATTTACTATGTAGATCATCATCTTTAGGACATGTTTTATGTAGTATACTTGTTAGCATAGTAGTTTCAATTGGGCAAAACTTACTGCCAATAAAACCTGCTTTTAATTTGTCACATATTTCCAGTGGCAACCAATGATCAGGTGCTTCAATATTACAGATTTCAATTCTTCCATTCTTTATGTCTATGACTATTTTAATTTCCAAATATGACTGTCCATATAATACATTAAAGGAAGTGTTTATACTAAACTTTGGAGTTTTGCCATATATCCACTCCCAGGTCTGTAGTTCTTTGGCTTTATTATTTATTCCGGGAAACAGTGTCTCATCTGTTGGGTTTATTAGGTTAATATGATTATCAATTTGATGGTAAGCAGCATATTCTGCAGCAATAGCATTCATCAGTACTTCACAGGTCAGAGTGGGATCTTTTTCCAAAAGATTTTTTACTACGGAAGGTATGCTAGCAGTGGCATTGCTCTTGATCCCTTGGTAAGGGCTCTTCAGCAAAGATGACAAGAAGGTCCTATTGGTACTACATAATAAAGTGCAATGGTGATAAGCAGTAGTCCGGCCAATCTTAGAAGCTGTTCCTGAGATTTTAAACTGTCCATCAAGTAAAAGGTCACATCTTTTGGTGGCCTGCACATCCAGCTGGGGTTGGATAGCATTCAGAGCTCTCACAACTAATTTTAAATTCTCCATCCTATTGTACTTTTTTTTGGTTGTAAAAAAAGTCAAATTGATATTACCCATATCATGATAGACTGTTCCTCCTCCACTTCTTCTCCGAGCCAGTTTTATACCTTCTTCTCTCATCAGATTCAGGTTGCATTCCTGCCAAGGATTCTGATGTCTACCTATTACAACAGAGGGAGAATTTCTCCAAAGGAAAAGAACCGGCTTGCCCTCTAGATTCACATGGTCATGGATCCAGTCTTCTACAGCCAGATTTTGATAAACATCATTAGAAATCGATTGTAAAATAAGCCCACTTTTTACTGTGTCTTTAAAGCCAGCTGTTGGGACCTTGAGGTTACAAAGTAACTGGAAGCAATTCTTCATTGAAAATGGGATCAGCATGCTTTTAAAAATGGAAGAGAAACAAGTTAATTGAGAAAAAGAAAGTTTAATTGCATTTTCTAGCTCTTGATTCTCGGTTATTTAATCAAAATTTTTCTAACGTATCAGTTGCTTTGCTTGCCTTTTAGCTTTATTGTTAGTCTTTAACAACTCTACAACAGAGTACTCAAAGGAAATAAATGAAGACAAACCTGAAGAAGAGTTTCAATGTCTGATGGAATGTGCCTTGTGGAAACCACCTTCCCAACTTCTGGGCTCTGGAGAGATCCTGTTAAAGCCAGGATATCCTCTTTCTCCTAGAGGAGGCTTGGATTCATCTGGGACCGGTGAATCTCTTTTTATTCAATGGTTCAGTAACAGATCAGCCTTGAAGGTCTGGTAAAATGTTTCTTTTCTTTTTTAAAAATGTTTGCTTATTTTTGAGATAGAGGGCGAGTGGGGGAGGGGCAGAGAGACGGAGACACAAGACTCCAAAGCAGGCTCCAGGCTCTGAGCTATCGGTACAGAGACCCAGGCTGGGCTCAAACTCACCAACTGTGTGATCATGACCTGAGCCAAAGTCTGAGAAGCAGACTGAGCCACCCAGGCCTCCCTAAAATGTTTCTTTACATTTTATAGTTTTCCCCCAGACAACAACCTTATTTCCATATTCTAGGGGGACGCTTTGATACCACCATTTTGCATTACAAACATGCTTTTCAACACTGAACAGAAAGCAAAAGATAACAATTCCATCTATCCTCCTATGTAGGCCCAGCTCCTTCAAAACACCTGTTATTTTGCCACATCTTTGACAGTACATAACTGACCCAGAGTCTCACGACGGTGGCATGTTTTATTTCGCTTTCTTGGCTCTCTGTGGGAACGCACACACCTGGCACCCAAACGTTTTAGTTTTTTACCCTCCTGCGTTGGGGATAAGCTGTTCCTAACCGTGGAGTTAGGTCGTCCCAAGCGGTGAGCGAAAACCACGGCGTGTACAGCACCGGCCTCGGCGGCCTGGCCTTAGAGTCCCCGGTGTTCACCCACCACTCACACCCAAAAGGCCGCCCGCCCCAGCGCCCCCGAACTGCACTTACAGCTTAGCTCACCTGCTTCTTCCAGTCGCGCGCACGGCGCACGCCGGCTCCCACAGGAGAAGGACGCGTGCGAGGATCCACGGCCCGTCAGGCTGCGCGCGCGGCCAGCCCCGCCCACTGCCCACTGGGCCAGAGGAAGGCTGGGCGGCGGAAGCGCCGAGAGGAGGCGGGGCCACGCCGGGACCCCTTCCTTCTCATTCTTTGGTGTCTGGCTGCGGGTGCCCGAGGGGCTCTCGACAGAGTCGACCAGCTGGCGCTAAACCAGATTAGAGATGGGGATACGTTCCAATGGAAAGTCACAGCGCCCGCAGTTCGGATGGAGTTCCCCCACGTGACAGCGCAGAGCTAATGGTCACCCAGGGCGAAGGTAGGACAGGGCGGCTGTGTCAGGTTGGAGGGGGCATTCGCAGAGCGAGGCCAGAGGGAGGACGCCAGGAAGCCAGAGCAGTCAGGTCGCATGCCAGGCCAGGCCAGGCCAGAGCACCAGCAGATGCCTACTGAATGTGCAGTCATTGCTCCAGGTCTTTCCGTATCTCCTCACAGTCCAAAGAGCACATAATTCCACTTGGAAGGCGAGAAAACTAAAATCAGTTTTAAAAGACAAATTGCATTTAAAGGAATAAACGCTGGTATTCCCAATACAGAGATGGAAACTGCTGGGAAGGAGTGGGTCAGAAAATACACACTTAGGCTAATGAATGTTACTTATCTGCGGTGACCCTAAGTGCAGTTGGCAAGAAAATTCTTGTGGCTCAGCCAGATGGGCAATTCCTCCGGCAAGCCAAAGTTTCATTTAACTATTGCTGCATAATAACTGACTCAAACATCAGTGGCTTAACACGATTTTTTATTTCTAACATTTATACGGTTTCACCAGGGCTTTATTCATCCAGGGTTGGCTGAACTGGGAGGTCCAGGATGCTCTTATTCACACCCTGGCAACTGGTGTTTACTGGCTGCTGGGGCACCTCAATTCACGCCTACCCTTGGAAGAGACACTTCAGCCACCTTATGTTAGCCAAAGCAACAACAAAGACAGGCCAGAGACAAGGGATGGAGCAATGGACCTCACCTCTTCATAAGAGGAGCCCAAAGAATTTGTGGTCTTTTTCAATCTTCCACAGAAATGAAAATTTTCATTTAGAATAGAAACTGCCTAAGCCTGCATCTTGGAATAAGCAGCATCCAGGGTTCACAATTTGGTGATGCTTCACAGGGCTCCATAAAAAGCTACAATTTTTTTTAAAAAGCTACAATAAAGACAAATGGCTCATTTATCATTGCCCATTGTTGAAGTTCCTCTTTCTTGTATTACGCAGATGGAATGGATTTTGTTCAGTTAGTCCCTCTAGGAATTTTATTAAAAATAGCCACACAATACTGTTTCCCTTTGCTTATATTACATCCTTCCTAAATTTCATTTCTCTCAAATCTGAGATGATAATTTTTTTCCCTTTATTTCCTACTGAGGTGGTTGTGTCCTTTGGTTATTCTTAACCCTTCTCCTACTTCACCTCCACTGGAACCTTCTTCCACTGACACCCAAACATGAACTCTGCTTCATCATAACAATCCTCCACTGACCCCACTTCTTTTTCCACCTTTCATCCTGTCTACTTCCCTTTAAAAGAGCAGAGCTTCAAGGACTTGCTACATATCCAGTTGCTTACTTCCCATTCATAATCAACTTCCAATATTTCTTCTGTCCCCATTCTGTCAAAAGTGCTTTTGAGTGGGGGGTGGGGGGTGGTGAAATGGGTCAGGGTGGTCAAAGGTATAAACTTCCATTTATAAGTAAGTCCTGGGGATCTAATGTACAGCATGGTGTCTATAGTTAACAATATTGTATTAATGTGTTTACAAGGTGCTGAGAGTAGATCTTAAAATTTTTCATCACAAGAAAAAAATTTGATGGATGTTAACTTATTGTGTTGTTTTGCGGTATATACATATATAAAATCATTATGTTGTACACCTAAAACTAACCCAATGTCATATGCCAATTATATTTCTATTAAAACATAGAAATAAAGAATAAATAAATCTCTTTAAATCATTAAAAATGTATTCAGGGCTGATGAAGAATGAGGTCAGCTACTTATTTTCAAATGGTTGTGGGGAGACGGAAGGCCTTTGTACTAGCAACTTTTCTGTAAATTTGAGATTGTTTCAAAATAAAAGGAAAATAATATATGTTAGGTGTCTGACACTGTACTAAAGACTGTTAGTGCCCCCATGCATTCTCCAGCTGCTGTGAGTGTAGGAGCTGTTGTGTCCAGAGACACGTTAGTGATTCATGCTACCTCCCTGCTCCTCCAGCCTCCCCCTTGGGCTTTGTGGTAGCAATCAAGGTCTGACTAGTATGGGGCACAATAGTGCCACCCTTTGCCTCAAAATGGGTAATGGAACAGCTGTACAGTCAGATCCTTCCAAAGCATCCTGTGGATCAGGCCAAGAATTTATCTGAGCCCTCATCCTCAGCTGACTCCTATTTCCCTGTCTTGCTTCCTTCACTCCCTTATATGCTTTTTCTAAAGAGCACACTCTCAAAAATCACATGCATCTGAATTCCTGTCTCAGGCAGTTTCTAGGGAATCCCAACTAAGAGATCACACACTAGCTCAATAAGTGAAAGCTTTTATTATTAGCATCCATGACAACATCATTAGATGCAATACATAATAGGTTTAGACACCGTATTTTATGGATATGTTGAATTTAAAGTCTCCTAAACATCCTTATTTCTGCTGAACTACGTTTTTTTTTTTATGGGAAGTTTACTATCTTATTAGAAGTGGCAGAACTCTGAAAAGTACTCACTTTAGGATTCCACTTGTAGAATTCTCCCAAAACACCTAAGTGAGGTTGTTATCCTTATTAAGCTTGTTCCATTTTACCTCTTCCAGGAAGTCTTTGTGGATTTCCCTTGTCTAAAACTATGGCTTAGGTTGGATTTGAGGATTCCAGTTTTTTGGTATCTTAGCAGCAGTGGTTCTCAATGAGGGTGATTAATGTTAGCATTTTTATTGTCTCAATGACTTGAGTGAGCTACTATATTTGATATCATGCAATGCATGAGGCATCATGCACAATGAAAAATCATCCCACATTCAGCATCACCATGACTATCAAATATCCTGTTGGACATTCATGGAGATGAAAAACAAGGCTGTAAATATCTGAGCCAAGCCCCTGTTAAAAAAAAAAAAAGTGATTTTGCTAAGGTCATTGTGACATTTCACGTTGCTAGATCCAATCCTTGTCTCAACAATTTTTTTTAAAAAAAAATTTTTTTTCAACGTTTATTTTTGGGACAGAGAGAGGCAGAGCATGAACGGGGGAGGAGCAGAGAGAGAGGGAGACACAGAATCGGAAACAGGCTCCAGGCTCCGAGCCATCAGCCCAGAGCCCGACGCGGGGCTCGAACTTGCGGGGCTCGAACTCACGGACCGCGAGATCGTGACCTGGCTGAAGTCGGACGCTTAACCGACTGCGCCACCCAGGCGCCCCCGATCCAATCCTTGTCTAACCTTGCAGTTGACTACCTCCACCTTAATGACTACTGTGGGCAATCTTGACATTACCTTGTCTTGGTTTTCCACCATCCTCAATGCCAGTTCCTCAGTTCCTTTGCTAGTTCCCTTGTGCTGACTAGCTCCTAAATGTTGGAGTTCTCAGGACTTTACTCACATTATACATTCACCTTAAGCAATTTCATTCATTCCCAAGGCTTTAAATGCCATTTCTGTGTACAACTTCAAAAGTTGTATTTTTAGTTTCATACATATAAATGACTACTTGCCTTGGAAGCTGAGTTATGTCCCCAAACCATGCTCCTGAGGTTTTCCCTAAGGAACCTCCATGCATGTAGTCTCTTTAGCTAGAAATCGTTTCTTTTTCCTCCACTTTCAAACCATCACTCTTTCCTGCTAAACTTCATTTGGACTTTAACCCTTCTCAAGATTTCAACCATCACCATCATGTTACTTAGACAACCATGTCACTGCAAAAGCTATGAAAACTTCCTAGTTCCAACAATTAAAAATCAAGTTTATGTGTTAAGTCTCCTGTCCTTCTGAACATTTTACTTTTTCTTCATGGTACATCATAATATGCATCTTATAGAATTACTGTCTGATACTCTATCTTCCCTGGTAGACAGTAAGCACTATGAAGATGGTGGCTATTTTATTCACTACTATATCCCCACCAAGAAACATAATGCCAAGTTAGGTGAACAAATGAATGACTATGTTTTTTTCCTCTCCCAAAGAATTATGTTCTGTAAATGATAAAAAGCAGTGTCTTATTGGCTTATGTCCAATTCAACAATTTTATTTAACTCTAGGATCAATATTCCCTACAATATATTTGTATTTTTCTGATTTATAAAATAGTTTCCCCTGAAAGAAGATGGTTTTTCATCTTTGTTTTTATGAATACTAAGGAAATTTCTCACAATTAGCCATTAGAGATAGCCAGTAAATTTTAAAGTACAGGAAAATGTTCAAAACATACATACATACGTAATATAAATAGTTACAAGGTCACTATATGTCAACACAAAATGGTTTTACTTTCATCTAACAATACTTGGGACAATACTGCTGTCTCAAACTACTAGACATTTCTATAAGAATGGCAAACTGATGCATATAAAACAATTTTTTTATCAATATATTAGGTTTATTTATTTATTTTTTCAATATATGAAGTTTATTGTCAAATTGGTTTCCATACAACACCCAGTGCTCATCCCAAAAGGTGCCCTCCTCAATACCCATCACCCATCCTCCACTCCCTCCCACCCCCCATCAACCCTCAGTTTGTTTTCAGTTTTTAAGAGTCTCTTATGCTTTGGCTCTCTTTCACTCTAACCTTTTTTTTTTTTTTCTTCCTCTCCCCCATGGGTTTCTGTTAAGTTTCTCAGGATCCACATAAGAGTGAAACCATATGGTATCTGTCTTTCTCTGTATGGCTTATTTCACTTAGCATCACACTCTCCAGTTCCATCCAAAACCAAGAATTTTTTAACACAATACTATTTTTCTTACATTAAATATTGGTGGTATAAAATGGTAGTATCTATAAGATAAACCATTAGACTTGGAAATAAC